CTTTCTAGACTGGTCCCTGAGCCTGAAACAGTGCGGATTCTGTTCCGAGTGTTATGAGGTTGTGCAGACAGAGAACTAAGATCTGCTCGCAGAGGTGGCCACCCCAGGTGCTCAGCTGGGGTGGAGTCCCTGGTGTCTCTCTTGTTTTCCCTCTGCTACATGGTTACGGCTTAACATTTCCAGATTCTTCTGCAATTCTGACAACAATGTTCCAAGAGCCGAAGGCAGCGACTTGGCTCGGCTTCTACTACGGTGTGACCCACCACGAGGGTCCAACACGCTTCAGTTACACCGAGCACGGAAGTCTGTACGGAGGGAACAGAGCCCTGCTGGAGTTTATAAGAAAGAACCAGTCTTTAGTTTGTGAACTTAAACAAAGGTAGTCTTACAAATACGTGGATTTGATACAGCACCCTTAAGCAGGTGGTCTACTTAACTGCTCTATTGTTTCTACCCAGTGAATGCAAATTTTGATGTCCTCTATCAGTTACCTTGGATCATCATCTTGGAGTCGGTTGAAAAATAGTAATGGTCTGAATATAAATTAGAGAACATATGGTCCCCATACACAAGGTCTCTCTCCATGTCTTTAATCACCGCTTAATGAAAATTTACGAGTTGAATGGAATCAGGACAAAAATGCTTACAGATCAGAGAAAATGATGTGTGAGAATACTAATACTCTACATATGAAGAAAATGTGTGAATTGGTCCCTTAATGGCCAGCTGGAAATCCTGTGAACAAAAGGTCTTCTGGGTGCAGGAAGAGAGACTTCTGACCATTAAGCATGTAATATTCCCTGTGATATTACAAGTTAATTACTCGTGGACTTGTCCAGAGGGATGTGAACATTTTAGAAAAGGTGCGAGTTACCCAAATCGTGATGGGTGTAATGCCCATCAACTTCGTGGAAATGAAAACACACGTAGCAACATGCTAAATGCTGTATCTGTTTACACAATTATACCCAGTCTAGTAAGACCAATAATAAACTGTACAATTAACGCCATTACAGTTCCCTTATAAAACTATTCTTAGTAATAATTTCACCAATCACACAGATAACCATCTTTTGCCAGGTCACTTCAGGTGTCACAGAAGGCAAAGTCTGTCATGAACAATCTCAAAGAAAATGATCTCCACGGACGCCTTTTCTGAAAGAAGCTAAGACACGATCCAATTTAGAAAGCCAAGGATCAAGAAATTAGCATAAAAGAACCACTAATCATTCAATCATCCACATAAATGTAAAACTAAAACTGAATAAAGTAGGAGTTATGATTAAAAAGAGAGAATTTGATGCAATAAAGCTAAAGGTAAAAGAATATATTTTAAAAACTGGTAGGTAGAAGAAGTGGTGTAAGAAATCGAGAACTTAATTTGAGGACATCCATAAATGATAAAATAAATATGGAATTTTCAAAAATAATTATTTCAACCTCATAATATTTTTCATAATCTTTTCCCCCCAGAAATTTGGGAGGTTTCATTTTCTTCTGTTGTATTCATACTACAATACCAGAAGACTACAATAATATTAAACTTGAAGCAGTATTAAAACTACCTTGCACACTGAGATGCCTGGTGAGATGTCTGCCTGATATACTGGGGTTTCCATGAACAACCCCAGGTTTGATTATCCCCTCGGAAGACTCATGGGACGCAGCACGTACTCATATTCAAGGCTATGATGTAACATAGCAAAAGGATGCAAAGCAAAATCAGCAGAAGGGAGAAGGTCTATGGGGAGAAATGTGGAGGAAAGCAGGTGCAGGGTTTCCCAATGGAGTCACACAGGATGCGCCGAATCCCTCCAGCTGTGAGTTGTAACGACACCCACGAAATGCAGTCAGCCAGACAAGTTCAGTGGAGACCTGAAGCCCAGAGTTTTCCTTGGAGGCTGGTCACACAGGCACCTTCTGCCTCTCGTGTACCCAAAATCCAGACCCCCAGAAGGAAACAGGTGTTTGCCATCAACCACACTGTTTGTACCAATACTTTAGGAACAGTGCACCCCTCTTATCAGCTAGGAATTGGTGAGAACTCTCCCCCAAATCTAAGTTTCCAGAAGCCAGCCGAAGGGCAACCTTTCAAGCAGAAATGTCTCAGGACAGGTTTGCTGTGGTAACTCTACTGCACAGGTAACCACGGCTATTTCTGGATGGTAGAATTTGGAGTGAAGTTTAAGTTTTACTCTCTTGTGTGGTTTGTTATATTAATGTTTTAATGGGCATATATGATTTCTATAAAAATAAAGACATTATACTGTTAAACGAAAAACAAAACTGCCACTTGTATCTTTCAAAGAAGGCATCTAAATACTAGGGATGCACGAAAGAGGAAAAAGCATTCTCAATTCAAATTCAATTCCAATGTTTCTAATTTGAATTTTCTAATGCTTGGAAATGCAATTATAATTTGCTTGGAAACCCAGTTACACATCCCAATTTATTAGGTGAGATTATAATGAATTTGGTTCCCAGGCAAACTAGACGTTAGCCATGAAAACTATAAAAGTAGGAAAAAAAATCAGAAACATTTATTTTTAAGAAAGTCCCTTTCCTATAGGTACATGCTCCTTTGGCTAGAGTCATTTTTACTCATGTTTATCTCAGTTTGCTCTCGGTTGGCTTGCTTTTCTATTTATTTTGAAGGCCAGTGTGACCCTCTGTATGGGGATGTCCATGTCAGATTCTCCCCTGGGAGCAGAACTCCAGAGTCACGCTGGGAGACCTCTGGAAGATCGTCAGGCACCTGAATAATTCCCCAAATCCAAAAATTTCTAGAGAACCGGGGACGGCTAAGACACTTGAGTTAAACCATCGTTTCCTTCTCTCCCCTTCTTCCTGCATTTTGTTAGTAAGAGTTACCAGGTATGCCCATGACATGAGAAGCCCACTGAAGCATTTACAGACTGACTCATAAGCCAGACTGGCATTCTAGCTACTAGGTGTCTAATGATGAACAGACGGAAGGATCAAAACGATGCCACACTGTGCTTACAGTTCAGACTTTTACTAACAAACAAGGAAGATCATTAAGCAGTTTAATTTGTATTAAGTAAAGGTAGTCACAGGAAGTGATGGAAGCACATGTGAGG